CTCCCACCTAAAATGGTTCCCTACCTCACACTGTACAGTAAGATGGCCTCCCTAACTCCACCCCCCAAGCTAAACCCACCTATCACTATGCTAGCTGTTCCTCCCTCCCCCTTCTCACACACAACAGAAAAAACACCCTTCCATCCAATACTCACCTAACTCCTTCTTCTTCGGGTCTGACCTGCATCAGTCATGTCCCTTCCTCCGCCTATCGCTCCGCAGGGAACTTGACATTTCGAAGAACAGAGGAAGTAAATAGAGGAAGACTTTCCTCTGCCTTATGTTGTGGTCTCAGGTCAGAGGAGGTAGCAATGCCCAGAACATGTCACTGACCGTCCCAATCTGATTGACTGATGTCTGAATGGTGAATTATTTCCAATCAGGGACACCGGCCCAATATGTCTCATTAGTACTGGCCCCGGGCCCATACACATTACACAAACAGTGGACCATGTCTGTGTAATGTGTATTGAAACATACATTTGTGGTCTTCATGGGAAGCCCATGTGACAGGGACACAATTGGGAGACAGTTGTCACCCCCATTGCAGGAAGTGTCTGAACAAGGACCCCCTATGGCAGGGTCACCAGGGGCTATGTAATAAAGCCGCCATGTATGATGCTTGGTGCTCAGTAATCGCAGTAATGAGGTGGCATGCTGTGTACTAATGGCAGCTCTGAGAACAGAGGGTCAGCAATAAGTAAAAGCTACATTTTGAGTACCTCAAACTTACAAAGTCCCTTTACTTTATATTTACCAATGTTCTTCTGGGTCCCAAAGTCATAATATGGGGGGCTACTAGTTATAAAAATGCAGAGAAAGGTAATACCTACAAACCCTCCTAATGGTCTCACTCACAGATACCTCTTGTAGAACCTGATGGCTCCTCCGTGTGCCTAACCCTAACGGAGGTTTACTGTTTGATATTTGTATTTTACAGAACTGTTCACCCCTCCTGAGATCAGAGTGACCCCGTCCCCGGTAATAGAAGGAGATAATGTAACTGTGACTTGTCACACCAACGTGTCTCCGTACAGACCAGAGACAGAACTGCACTTCGCTTTCCACAAAGATGGCCGGAATGTTCAAGGCTTTGGGCCATCTGACCAATATGGAGTCCAGTCCGCTCAGCCGGAGCATTCTGGGAAATATCACTGTGACGTGAGAACAGTTTCTGGTAGAATGATAGAGAAGAGGAGTAAAGAGTTTAACATTGAAATACAAGGTAAGTGTAACTCAGGAATGGATAGATATGAGGAGATATCAGACCTCAGACGTAAGCGGGACCAGAGGGGCATAGAGACAACATGGAAGTATATGGGAAATGTGTATGAAGCTGATGACTGGGCAGAAATCAAAGAAGGAACACAAAATATGGAACTGAAAGCAAATGTTTCTGAAAGGAAACCAATCTAAATAGCATCCGTTGGTTTCCATTGCTGACCTCCTGAAAATTATAGTCCCCCGACCCTCATACTGAGTATGCACCATGTGAAGACAGAAATCGTAATTTCTTTGATTGTTCTGGGTCAATGTCCCAATTCCTGGGAAGGGGAGGACACCTGGACTCCCCCTTATTTTAAAGTTGGCTTCTATTTTCCACAATAAGCCCCCATATTACCCACACCTTCTTGGGGCATATAAGGTGGGGAAGGGGCCCTTTTACCTCAACTTGTGGACAAGGATGCTTTGCAAGGGGAGGAGGGTTGGCAGGTACGCGCTGCTGCACAGATTACGGTCAGCGATCTGATCAGCGGCGCATTCTTCTTCAGAGCCGCCAGTGAAAGCCGCCAGCAGAGGATGCCATAGCGACCAAGGCGGCCCGCACGGCATCTGGCCGGGCCCCCCTGTGCCCGGTAGCGGCCGCCTGGGTCGCTATGGCGATTGTTACGCCACTGGTGGCAAGTTACTGCACTACTTGCATCCTCAGACAGGAAGAATTCCTCTGAATAGCTTTGTAGACCCAAACCTTCTCCATAGTCATCAACATAAATAACAAAGGTGACTCTCTGTAGAGGGGACACAGACCACAATAAAAACCCAACAGGGATGCTAACCACTCTATACGGTAACCAGAACTAAGACAAATGTAGATAATGCAACACGCGTGCATGGAAGTTGTCGGCGTAAAGCTCCATCATGATGTTTTCTTAGACAAGAAGCACAGCATGCCTAAGCAAGAAACGCATTTGATCACCTGGGAGGGAGTTTCTCACATTCACTCAGATGACATTTTATTGTTACTTTTATTTTCTCTTTCAGAGTCCTTCACTCACCCACAAATCACAATGACCCCAAATCACATGACTGCAGGAGACACCATGACCCTGACCTGTCACACAAGACGGAGCCCACTCATTCCTGATACGGGTCTGGAGTTTGCCTTTTACAAAGACGGACGCAAAGTTCAGGATTTCGGATTATCGGGGCAATATGGAGTCCAGTCCGCTCAGGCAAAGCATTCTGGGAATTACTCCTGTGACGTGACGGCTTTATCCAACAATTTAACAAAGAGCAGTAAAGGGTTCTACGTCCGGATACAAGGTGAGCAGAAGATGTGATGTAAAATAGATTTTCTGTTTACTGTACTGACCATTTTTTCAATGGACCGTCCGTATGGTCCAATGGACCTCTGTGGGGTCCGTATCCACAGAGAGGATAGTCCTGATAATTGGAGGAGCATACCTGAGGGTGGAGAAGCAGCAGTGGGTTCTGACTGTGGAGTCTAGTAGTCCAGACAGCTGTAGGGCGTACTGGAGGCTACATGCAGACAAAGGAACCACAGAGGCACACAGAGGTGCACTTGGAGATGCAGGTCACATTTTGAGGTATGGGGACACAGAGACACAGGGGACACAGAGACACAGGGGGCATCTAAGGCGTGCTTGAAGACACAGAGCAATAGTCCAAACAACTGTAGAGCACACTGGAGGCTACATGCAGACAAAGGAATCACAGAGGCACCAGGGCTGGATTTACTCTCTCTGCTGCCCCAAGGTTCCTCACTACGCCCCCTATCCAGAATCCACACCCCCATGGAGGATGGCAGACCTGCAGGCTGCATACAAGTGATCTCGGCGACATCGTAGGAGATCACTTGTATAAACCAAGCGGCAACATCCCCCGCTGTACATTTAGCCCTGCTTGCCCAAAGCCGGGCTAAATGTAGAAAACAACTACCCGCCCGGCGCCCGGAACTGCATGTCCTGGGCATCGGAAGATAGGAATTCCACACCCAGTGCTGCCCCCCTACTCCCTGCTGCCCTGAGGCCGGGGCCTTGGTTGGCCTTGTGGGAAATCCGGCCCTGAGAGGCACAGAGGTGCACTTGGAAAAACAGGTATGAGGTATGGGGACACAGAGACACAGGGGGCACACTTGGACACAAGGGACACCTAAGGCGTGCTTGAAGACAAGGCACGCTTGCCGACATGGTGCGCAGGGGGCACAGAGACACTGGGGGTTGTTTGGCACGGAGGACAGAGGAGGCACTGGGAACAGGCTGACACTGGAGGAGGCACTTTGGGGGGCTCTGCTTAGGTTTAACAAAGTGTCCCTCAAATGCCCATCAGTGCATCACCTGGCCCTCTAAGTGACCAACAATCAGTAGAGCTGACTCTTGATTGGCTGGGTAAGACCTGGGAACGCTGGTGGCCAAGCACCATAGGGAAGACCCAACACTGGATACCGGGAAAGGTGGGTGTTACACTTCTGTATACCGTCTGTTCCAACATGACTTCGCACCAGTGCACAAAGCAAGGTCCATAAAGACATGGATGGGGGAGTTTGGGGGGGAGGAACATGACTGGCCGCACAGAGTCCTGACCTCAACCCCATAGAACACCTTTGGGATGAATTAGAGCGGAGACTGCGAGCCCCTCCCCCAACATCAGTACCTGACCTCACAAATGGTCCAACATTCCCATAGACACACTCCTAAACCTTGTGGATGCCTTCCCAGAAGAGGCGGAGCTGAAGAGGGTGGAGCCAACCCAATACTGAACCCTACAGACTAAGACTGGGATGCCATTAGAGGGTGGAGCCAACCCAATACTGAACCCTACGGACTAAGACTGGGATGCCATTAAAGTTCATGTGCGTGTAAAGGCGCCCCGATACTTTTGGTGATATAGTGTATTTCTGTATACCGATCTTCTCTAATATACTTACAGTCCAATCACTTTCCCATACAGAGCTCTTCTCCAAGCCGGAAATTGAGATGATCCCAGAGGAGGTCATAGAAGGTCATCCGATGATCCTAACGTGTAACACGAGTGTCATGAGAAGTGACATTGTACTGCAGTTCTCTTTCTACAAGAATAAAGAGAATATAATGGAATTCGGTTCCTCTGATCGATATGAAGTCCCATCAGCTCAGCTGGAGGATTCTGGGAATTATTTTTGTGTAGTGAGAACTCCGACCAACAGTGTGATGAAGAGGAGCGAGGAGATAAATGTGGACCTACGAGGTGATCATCACTTATTGCCAAATGGAAGCTTTGATTGCAGTTTTTCTATATACATGCTTAGGGGTACATAATACTAACAAATGATCTGATTGGCCAAGCCTGTTGGGGGGGAGGGGAAGGTATTGGCCATTCTTAGAAGCAGCAAACCAAGCTGCACTTCTGGTTTAGCTCATCACCTGCTGGGCTATGTTGATATATATGGGATATCTACTGTATATGTTGGAAGGCTAACAGGTTAGCCTGAATGTGTGGGAGGAGTCTGCGCCTCCTTACCCCACTTAAGCAGGACCCATCCGTCTGCTAGGGACGGTAGGTCTTCCGAGCAAACCCCCCGCCCCCCCCGCCCATCCCTTGGGTTCTTCAGTCAGGAGTTCACCTAATTTCCCTCTTCAAACTATCTGAGTATGCCCCCTTATTGGCATTACTGTCCACCCGGACCATGGCACACTTCAGGTCCTACCAGCTGTGGTCATATATGTCAAGTAAAGTGGACTTCTTACACAAATAATATTATATACTTTCATGTACAAATACACATTTCCTGGGATGTAATACATTCTCCCAAACCTAAATCTACTCCATGGAAATAAGAACAGGTCTTAATGCCATAAACAATGGGTCGTAATGGGTTGAGACTAAGGGGGGAGTCAGAGTCTTGCTGGAATGAGCCAATCTTGCTGTAGGATGTTCTCAGGAAGACTATCGGGAAGAGAGCCATTGGGTTGAAAGACTAATATCTCTGTAAAGCCCATCAAGGGGATTACATTGGTATTGCTGGGACACTGGCATAGCCATAGCAGCCCATGTAGATGCCTATGGAGCTTTAGGTCAGACTTGTGTGTCTTGTAGTTGTGTTCTCTAGGTAGTGTCCATATTGGAGGCTTTGGAGGGGGTCGGAGATATTCGGGGGTAGGTTAGATGTTGCCGGTGTAGCTTTGTGGTCCAACAGAATTTAAGAAGGCACCATGAAGGGTTACTACAAATGCATATGATGCCAATCGGTGGCACAGAGGGGAAATATCTTCCGCTGGCAGTGTGGAACCTGCTTCGGTCTAGTGAATGTAGCTCCTGGAGACCACTTGGGGGGGCTTATGGTGAATACACTGGCATAGCCATAGCAGCCCATGTAGATGCCTATGGAGCTTTAGGTCAGACTTGTGTGTCTTGTAGTTGTGTTCTCTAGGTAGTGTCCATATTGGAGGCTTTGGTGGGGTTCGGAGATATTGGGGGGTAGGTTAGATGTTGCCGGTGTAGCTTTGTGGTCCAACAGAATTTAAGATGGCACCATGAAGGGTGACTACAAATGCATATGATGCCATCGGTGGCACAGAGGGGAAATATCTTCCGCTGGCAGTGTGGAACCTGCTTCGGTCTAGTGAATGTAGCTCCTGGAGACCACTAGGGGGGGCTTATGGTGAATACACTGGCATAGCCATAGCAGCCCATGTAGATGCCTATGGAGCTTTAGGTCAGACTTGTGTGTCTTGTTGTTGCTGCTTTCTCTAGGTAGTGTCCATATTGGAGGCTTTGGTGGGGTTCGGAGATATTGGGGGGTAGGTTAGATGTTGCCGGTGTAGCTTTGTGGTCCAACAGAATTTAAGATGGCACCATGAAGGGTGACTACAAATGCATATGATGCCAATCGGTGGCACAGAGGGGAAATATCGTCCACTGGCAGTGTGGAACCTGCTTCAGTCTAGTGAATGTAGCTCCTGGAGACCACTAGGGGGGGCTTATGGTGAATACATTTTGCCCCCCAATTGTGAGTGCCGTTTTCCTCTTGTCTTCATCCTGAATGGTGCACAGGAATAGAGAGTGGAGAAGAAGCTAGGGACACCAGCTAGTGGAAGAGTCCCATCAGCCTGCTATGGGAGCCAGTGATGTGTCATAGCGCCCCATTTTCAATGCAACAACCATATTACAGATACATTTCCCTTGTTTGGTTGATGTACAGCATCTGCCGCCCTAAATTCACCGATAACGATGACATTGACGAAATATTGTCTCCTTACAGGCACCGGTAACACGGGGCTCCTCATAATTCTCCCCTTGGCTCTGGGGATCTTACTCCTCCTTGTTGTTACCCTGGTGACCCTCTTCATTTGCTGCAAACGCCGTTCAGCCGTCAAAACCCAAGAACCGACAACGGGTAATTGTACTTCCTAATTCTGGTGTAGCCGTTTGTTAATTGTGAAACTTGTGATGAGGCCGATTCAGAGGATGCAAATAGCAAGTGTGTTGCGCTAGGTCTATGAAAAACACAGTGACCCAACTAACTAATAATTCTATTAGGTGTGAACACAAAGTGTGCTATCTGCCACAAATTTCCGTGAAGACCAAATAACTCTGCGTGATAGATGTTGCTAATGAATGCAGTGAGCTTTAATAAAACATACGTGGGGAAAATGTCCATGATTAGAATACCATCTGTCATGTGACGTGGCTGACCACTTCCTGGCTGAGTTGCTGTTGTTCCCGGTTGCTTCCACTTTGTTATAATCCCAGTAACAGGTGACCGCGGCGGAATATTTAGTAGCCGGGAAATGTCACGGACGGACTTATAGGTGACAACCTATCACGGCACCACGCTTGAAGTCACCGAGCTCCTGAGAGCGACCCGTTCTCTCACCAATGTCTGTAGAAGCGTCTGCATGCCGAGGAGCCACATCCTATACACCGGGGGCCATGGAGGGGATTGGAGGACCTGAATGACATGATTTGGAGGGGGAGGGGCCCAATGCTTTTGCCAATATAGTGTATTTAAAGGTTCATGTTCAGTATAAGTTCTTGTAACAATGTAATGATTGATATGACTTTCCCATTTTCACTTGTTCCATACTTCCATACATGCAGAGCTGTGATTGGACGGTGTCTAGCACAGGGTGGGGGAATTGGTTTGGGTTTCCATGTTTGAGTTGAGTGACGCTTCTCCCTCTGTATCTCAGAAGGCCCCATTGTATCCAGTGACAGGAACGCACAACCCGAGATCGCATACTCCACTCTCGCCATGCACCCAATGACACGGAGTAAGTACCTTGTATGTCTTTCCAGATTTCCATCAAAGCTGATCATTTCCGGGTCACAGGTGACACTGGTCAGGGAAGGGGAGGACTTGCAGTGGATGCGTTGTGGAAAGCCCAACTGTTAGATCTTAAAGGAGAACTATGGGGTCAGTGTTTTTCCCCATAGTTCTCCTTAGGGTAACGGGAGGACACAAACTAGCGTCCTCCCGTCACCCTAAGCTCAGTATATAGGGAGCTACAGCTCGCGGTATACTGAGACGCCGCAGCCGGAGCGGATCCCGACGTCGATGACGGGATCCGCCCAGCTGCGTGAGTGACAGCTGGCTCCTCCTATCTAGAGGCAGAGCCAGCTGTACCCTCCCCCGTCCGTTCCGCCAGTCAGCGCTGGCTGATCGGAGCGGGGAGAGGGGAATCCAGCCCCTCCCCTGTCACAGCAGAGCGCCGTGACAGGATCGAGAGGTGAGCGAGCGCCGGTATGTGTTCCCGATCTACTGAGCCGACCTGTGACAGTCTCATTGTCACAGGTCGGCTAGAACTATGAGGTGAGTGGAAATCACTCATCTCATAGTTCTCCTTTAAGTGTTAGCTCTTCCCAACTCTATGGCTCAATGTTTCTTGGGGCTTCTGATCCTTCTCAAACACCCACCGCACTCCATTGCATTACCCTTCCAGTTCATATATTGCTTGTTCCATTGTTGCCTTGTCATTGTTTAGAGGTTGAGAAAGACTTCAGATTTTGAGGTTTCCACCTTATTATAACTTGGCCACTGTCAGGGACCAGAGCACCTCCGCGCGGCAGTGTGGAGCTGGAGCCTGATCCTGCAGTTCCTGTGCTCGCCAGCAGGCGTCTCCCAGCAATTAGTCGCCACCTGGTGCTGATCTGGGAGGGTATTTAAAGGAGAACTATGAGGTGAGTGATTTCCACTCGCCTCGTAGTTCTAAGCCGACCTGTGACAATGAGACTGTCACAGGTCGGCTCAGTAGATCGGGAGGGGAGGGAAAACATACCGGCGTTCCCTCACCTCTCGATCCCGTCAGGGCTCTCTGCCGTGACAGGGGGAGGGGCTAGATTCCCCACTCCCCGCTCCGATCCGCCAGCGCTGACTGGCGGAACGGACGGGGGAGGGGCGGG